TGTTGGTCACGTACTGGACCCGAGTGTTGGCCACGTACTGGAACCGAGTGTTGGCCACGTACTGGACCCGAGTGTTGGCCACGTACTGGACCCGAGTGTTGGCCACGTACTGGACCCGATTGTTGGTCACGTACTGGAACTGAGTGTTGGCCACGTGAAGATGTAGATCTCGGGTTGCCGAACAGACCAATTGGTTGCCTATAATATAATTACAATTTAGAAAAATATGCAATTTATGTTAAAATCTATTAATATCACCCACCGATCAATTTCTGCCAATTCCCGCCAAAGTCTTGCTATCACTGGATCTGAGACACCATTCGGTGGCACAGATCGGGCCCGACGTGGGATAGTATAGCGACCATCAGTTTGTCTATCGTTGTGGCCATTGATGTCATTTTGGTGATTGTCATCCATGCCGTCACAACTCTCTCGGCTGTCGTTAAGCTTATTATGAATGCAATTAGTGTTGAAAACTATGGTTTAATCACAAATTGAATACAAAATGAGTTTATAATTGCAATGAATGGCAAAACAACACAAAAATTGGGTTAAAATTGTTTAAGGAATGCGTTTATAAGTAATAAATGATATAATAATACATGACTTATAACACATCAAGCATTCAATAGTGTATTCAATAAACGCCTCAAACGGTATATAAGTCTTAAATAATGTATAAGTTTTATATGCAATCAAACACTCAATCCTCACAATTGATGCCTAAATATACCATAACTTATGAATCAATGATTGCCTTATTGTGTACAATACTGCCAAAACATCTACACTATAGTCTATGCATCATATAATACACTATATTGTGTGTACATTATATAGTGAGTACACTATACAGGACCTATACTTTGGTTAGAGAGAGAGAGAGAGAGAGAGGCATCGATAGCTTTGGTCGACACGTGTATTGCCCTCTCATTGAATACAAATGCTATGCAATTATAGATTGGATTTAAATGTATATTCAATAAGACTTACCGTAAGAAAAAGATGTGACAAATGAATGGCAATTGAATGGACAGGAGATATACAATGTATACAATATTGGGTATAAAAACTGCACTAAACTTATGGCCAAATATATGACAACATATACAGAGATATAGAGAAGTGAAGATCAGATGTCCGGTGATGTTGTCTATAAGGAGTGTTGTGTTAAATAAAATGAGATTTTTTATTGTCAATACATTAAAACTATAGGGAGTTGTGGTTTAAGAGAGGGTTTAGAGAGTATGAGAGAGTGTATGTGAGAGGGAAACACGCGTTTGTATGCATTTACTCTATATTTGGTATTTGGCTTTTATTAAAAAACTTAATTTCATTCTCTCTCTCTCTCTCTTTCTTTCTTTCTTTCTTTCCACTGTGAATGTGTTTTAGTCTCTCCCCCATTGGCCCCCATTTCCTGTCTTTTGTTTAACACAAACTTTTAATCCCTTTGTATTGACCGCAAACACAGTCGATGAGTGGTAGGCATAGAGAGAGAGAGAGAGAGAGGGAGAGAGAGAGTGATTGAAAGTGTGTGAGAGAGAGAAAGAGAGGTACTGTAGTACTGTTTATGCTGTGTGGGGAAAAGCGTGGGGCGTGGGACATCCAAAAAAGTCATATTATTTTAATACTATTAATAGGATAATAGGATTATTAAATACAAAACACTAAATACTTATGACTAGTGAAGGTGTTTGACATGACGGCACTGGTAGGTGTTGTGCCATCGCTTGACTGATCCCAATCAACGGTTGCTGCGCTGTTGGTCGCAATCAATTGCGGCACCGCTTTGTCAGCGACAACTGGTTCAACACTAGCAGTGCCTCTGATTTGAGTGTTTAAAGTGACGCCCAATGACTCGTCAGACACTGTCTGTTGAATCGGATCCGTTACCAGTGGCTTAACGTTGACCAGTGTTTGGTCGTTAGGCGCGACATCGAGGCCATGGGTGTCGTCGGGGCCGCCAAACAGATCGTAAACATAGGCTACATATGAGTCAAATCGGTTGAAATCCTCTTCAGTCCGAAGCTCTTCTTCGGTCAATAAAGTGTCGCTGTATTGTCCGTCGGCCGTCAGGTCATCGTCGGACGCGTATAACAAATCACCGCTAAATCAACAATAAGTGTTAAATCGGTCACAATATGAAGACATACCTGTCATCGATGTCCGGATCNTATGAAGACATACCTGTCATCGATGTCCGGATCCATTTCAGTGTCGGAGGGAACTGGTGTTACCGTAGGGTTGATGGTGTCCGACACCACAGACAGCCGTCGTCCCTCATTAGGTACGGTCTGCGCGACCGCCACCGACTGTATGGCTGTGTCTACGGTTGTCACTGATGTCGATAATGATGGCGAAGACATCGGTGACGATACTACGGGCGGCAATGATAATACTGGTGGCGGAAGTGATGCGATTGATGGGCCGGCAGTGGCGGCGCCTGTGGTCTGAGCGGTGGGCGCGGAGATGACGGCCACGATCTCGATGTCGTCGTCCGACTCTCTGTTTGTGGCAAAACATATCTGACATTCAAAACAATAACCGCAACAATAAAACGGGCGCTAAAAGTCACGTACGGATCCGTTGTTGTGGCCATAGATGTGCTCCGTGTCTGCGGCGGAACAGTTGGCGAAACACTCGTACTGTCGTCCACTTCGGTGTCACTATTGGTGTCCCAATCGGTGCCGAAGAGGAGAGATAAACGTTTAACGCATTTATGGCTTTAAAAACATCACTCACTTGTCATCGGAGGACATGCGATGATCACTGGTGTCCCGTTTTGTGCGCTTCAATCGCCGCTTGAGAAGTGAGTTGAGCTTCACTTTATGGCCATTGCGGCCGCGTTTGCCGTTAAGAGTGGATCTGTTCATCACTACTACAGTATTGTAACACAAAATACAGTCCAAAAGCAAAACCACATTCAGTCACAAAATAATGTGCTTTTTATTGCATTGCATTTACAGTCAATATTGCAATCATTTGGCACTTTATAGGCGGGGGTAGAGAGTGGGGGACAGTTGGGGAGGGGTTGAGAGGTGTTGTGAGGGTCAGGGGGTCTGAAATTAATTATAAATTATAACAATTAAATCCTTACATGTGTTTGTGTTGTAAGTATTGGTATGTATTGTATGCCTAAAGAAAAGTAAAAAAGTTTTAAAAATGATTTAACATTACGTTATGTTTTATTCGTGTTTTAATGTTAATCAATAACGTGTTTGAATGCTTTGAATAACGGATTTATGAATGCATTGAAACACATTGTGAACACTGTTTAGGGGAGTACTATATGTCACACGTTATTCATTGTATGCATTGAATCATTGAAAAAGTTTTGACACAAAATCCAAACAAACATTTGATTCAAATCTCAACACATTTTCTATTCATTTGATTGTTGTCTTAATTTAGGGCCAAATTGTGGCACAAAATCAATTGACAATCAGTTTTGGACATCAATTACAGTCACAAACCATGAGATCAACTGAAGTGATATACAAGACAAGAGTGGTGTTCACTATCAATGACTTGACCAAAGCGTTAAGCGATAACAAAGACAGTTCTGATAGTAAAGAGGAAGACAATGACAGCCACTCTGATGCTGAAGACAATAACGAGATGGTCAGCGACGCGATCTTCATTGGATCCGATGAATGGAAAGTAATGGTCCACTTGAAGGACAACGACGACGAGGAATATCTTAGCGTTTATCTGAAACTGATTAACACAAGCGATGAGACGGTCGTCGCCGCGTATGAGGTGTACGTCCGGGACATCGATGGCCACCCGTTGAGCATTGAAGGACTCGACAGACATGAATTCACTTCAGAGGAGACCTCTTGGGGTCTAGAGTTAGTCAAACGATCGCTACTTTTGGATCAAAAGGACAAATATCTGCCCAACGATTCACTCACTATTGTCTTCGGAATCACTGGCTATAAGACCATCGATGGACCCAAAAGGAGACGACTCTTTGCCAACAGTTTTAATAACAAAGATCTCAACGACTGTCGACTCGTTATTAAAGGAAAGGAGTTTTTCGCCTCCAAAGCCATACTCAGCGATCGGTCGGAAGTGTTTCACAATATGTTTACCACTGATATGTCTGAGAAGACAACCAGTGATGTAGTGATCGATGACATCGATTACAATGTCTTCGAGGAGTTCTACCGTTTCTTTTGTAACGGAGATTCAGAGAAAATTGAAGACTTTGCCGAAGAATTGCTATACGTTTCGGATAAATACATGGTCTCAGAGCTGAAGACTATTTGCGAGAATTTATTTTATCTGCGAATAAACCCGAAGAATGCCTTCAAAGTATTGGAAGTGTTGGAGAGATATGGAAATCAAGTATTGGTTAAGAAGTGTCTCCAATATATTAAGAGTTATTGGAATCAATGTCTTGAGACTGAATGGTATAAACTCGTGGGCAATGATAAGAAACTGATCGGTAAAGTAATCGATGCCATGAAAAGTGGTTCCAAGAATAAGACCGAAACCAAGTCTTATACATATCTTCCGGGAGTCTTAAACCTATAATCGTTTTAATGACACAAAATTGTATTACATTTTATTCATTCATATTTGTGTCAAATATTGTTCACTATTTGATTAAACCTTAAATTGTTAATTGAACTCAAAATTAAACAAATGTTTAAAATGCAAAAACTTTTAACACTTAAAATACTATATGTTGTAAAATTACATTAATATTTTGTTTGTAAAACATTTGAACGTTTTAATAATGTTGTAATTTCTTATTTTTCTCATTCTTTCTACACTTTAATAAAACTTTTAATTGATTGTAATTTCAATGATAATAAAAATTCATTTCAATGTGACCATGATTTGATATTTAAAATATGAATGTGTCTTAAGTATTAATATCGGTATGTATTGTATGCCAGAAGAGGACTATAAAACAAGTTTAAAACGAGCGAAAACTTTATAAACTCGGGAGTGAAGAGTTAGTGGCGAAGACTATTGGATATATTAAAACAAATCTGAATCAAAGTCTTGAGACTAAATGGCATAAACACGTCGGCAATGATAAGAAACTGATCCGTAAACTAATCTGTGGTCTGAAGAATGGATCCAATGATAATAAGACCCAAACCATGTGCTATACATATAGTCATGAACTCTATATTTATAATCAGTGAATATTTTAATGATATTTAAAACTTAAACTCATTAAATGTAATAATGTTTTAATTCGTTGTAATTCAATATTAATAAAAATTAATTGCAATTATTATTAATATATATGCGTATATTGAATGCGAGAGAGATATGGAAATCAAGTATTGGTTAAGAAGTGTCTCCAATATATTAAGAGTTATTGGAATCAATGTCTTGAGACTGAATGGTAT